ATGTCGAGCAATCCATACCCAACTCCTGGCAACAGCGCAAAAGTTCGCTGGGACTCCAGTCTTTCTCTTCCCTGGGGCCCCGCCGTGCAAGGTATCTGTCTGGTAGATATCCGCCGTCGACGCCGGATATGTTAGGACCCCGCCACACCATAAGCTCTTTGATGATGGATACTACTCGGGCGACGCAGTTTTGCTTCGCCGTCTCTCCCATCTTGGGCCAGGCTTGAGACAAGGTTTCGCCGTGGATCTTGCTTAGGAAGATGTAGTACCGACCTTCAAATTCGGCGTGGTGGTAAACCTCAGGAATAGCAAAACTGAACGATCGTTTTTTCACTTCGTTTATCGTAACATGCTCTCGTGTTACGCTTGGGATCTCCTTGGGCACGAGTTGGACTTTAAGAGCGGCCTCGCCTATTATCCAGGTTGCGTGGGCATCGCCGACATCATAGACCTTCTCGAAAGGGTGGCTTGTGGCCGGTAGCGGAAGGTATTCGGATGGAGGGTGAGGAGCATCGGTTATGGTGTAGAACGAGCCTGTGCCATCGCCCCAGAAAGTGCCAGACGAAGGCGGCAAGGATTGTCGCGAGAGGAGAATTCTTCCCCCAATGACCCAGGATTTATCGTTGATCTCCCGGATGGATTCCCTAACGGGGCATGAGTCGATCGACATGGCGAACAAAAGTGAAGTGGAAGGGAGACGGGTCGAATTGGTTGCAACTGATGGTTTACGTACTTCGGCGACTTCAACAATATCGTAGAGGTCAAACTATCATTGATCTCGAAGCTAGCGATTCAAACTGGACTGGTTCCTGAGGCTATATTTATAGAAGTCCTTAATACTACTCCCTTAGGCCTCCCTTTCAATCTTCCAGATCCGGCCTGCGCCTTTGAACCTATTAATTAAACCCAATTTAGCTTCCGGGATCAAAGTAGCGTAGTCGTTACATTATCTCTTCAAGACCCGTGGTCCTAGAGTCTTTGAGAGCCGGGGTCCTAGAGTCTTTGAGAGCCGTGGTCCTGGAGTATTTTTGAGCCGTAGGCCCAGTTCCCGAGCCGCCTGAACCCCTTTGATGGCTTCGGTGGTCTCGGGCATGTGACACGTCAATGGTTACTATGGTCAAGAGTCCTTAATACCACTCCCTTAGGCCTCCCTTTCAATTTTCCGAGTCCGGCTTGCGCCTTTGAACCTATCAATTAAACCCAATCCGGCTCCCGGGATCAAAGAAGCGTGGTCGTTACGTTATCTCTTTGAGACCCGTGGTCCTCGACTCTCGAGTCTCTGAGAGCCGTAGGCCCAATTCCCGAGCCGCCTGAACCCCTTTGATGGCTTCGGTGGTCTCGGGCATGTGACACGTCAATGGTCACTATGGTCTCCAAAGCTTGCTTTTTTGATGCCTTACTTGTAAGACGGAAAGAAAGAAGCTAAGAGACTTCCCATTTCATACCTGAGGAGAAAACAAAGCAGACGGAAGGCGTAGGAGCCAATGGCCCAATCAGGAAAATTTTAATAAAAGAACAAGTACTGTTGTGTCAAGGGTGGCCAGAGGGCAGAGGTCCTGGGCGAGAAGCGTTGTGCGTTACATACGAAACGTCATATAGCATAAGCGTTTTTTTGCCAAAGATCTAATCTAACTTCGCATACACGCACATCAACCACAGACTTAAATATACATTTCATTAACAATCAACAATTACTACATGCTTATGCCTAAGAAAAAAGGCTATATATAGCATATTTTATATTAGTATTTACTACTCTAGCATTTTTGTTTATTTTAACTATATTATAGTATATATATTATTAAAATTATGAACTTTAGTTTACAATAGTACTACAATAGGTTTTTTAGTTTATTACTTACTTTTTAATAAAAGTTTAATACTGATACGAAAAACTCTAACATTATGTTGTGCATGGCCATGCACACCCTGTAGAGGATATTAGAACAGCTTGTCAGTACTAGCTTCTTCTTCTTGACAATTAATTTAATACAATCAATTTGACACCTATTATTATCACGCTATTCGTTTGCATATCAAATACTAAGCTTACTTTTAAAATTAAATAAACATCTTCAACTTATATGATTACCTATATAGAACTGCTAATTACTACTATAACTATATATAAAAGTAATTAAAAATATATACAATAATAGCCTAATATTATATATACTATTAGTATATAGAGGCTTAGTTTTTAGGCTTTTTATATAGGCCTAAATATTAAAGATTTAGAAATTAATAAGGTAATTAATATACGTATATATAAAGTTGAATTAAATCCTTAGCAAAAAAACGCTCGTGCTACATAAAGTTTTGTATATAACACACAACGGTAGTACCCGTTAGCCGGTAACTGGCAGACCTGTCGGGGCTTAGCGTACACGCTGTAGCTGTAACAGCTGAATGCATACGCCGTAGCTGCAACAGCTGAACGCCTACATATACGCTCAACCAACGGTTAAATTAGAGTAAGCTGTAAGATTCCGTAGCTAAAAGAGGTCCCTAAAGGAGGTGGCCGAGCCCAGGTAGCCGGTAAGGTATACAGGGCAGTATGGTAGACCTAGATTTCTGGGATAGCTAAAGTTCAGTGTAGGTAGAATAATATACCTTCATTAAACCACTATCGTATACCTGTCGTAAACACGTCGCATACGCAGCGCAGGCCACTTGCTTAACCTCACACTCTAACGTATAGAAACCCCTCCTAACATGTTAGCACTGTATTTCTTATTAGGGATAACTACAGAGAGCCGAGCTACAGAGAGCCGAGCTACAGAGAGTCGAGCCACATAGAGTCGAGGTACATAGAGTCGAGCCAGTAAGCCAGTGCAGTGTTTAAACGATATAAAGGAAACCAATAGCGCTAGAAGTATCTATATAGCTTTATTAACGCGGCTGTCTTTATAAATCTCAACGCGCCGGACATCGACAGCATATTAGTCGTTCAAGCGACGCCTTAACCTTCACGTTAATACAGAGCCTAAACGCTGATACAAATCTTCTCTCCCTCCTCCAAGCACTCTGATGATTTTCTTATAAACTACGGGGCCTCTAAGGCATAACCTAGGCTCTTTAAGAGATTATCGAAACGCTTAACAAGCGCAGCTGCTTCACGCTATCGCCATGCTATCTTCAGTGGTAGCAGGCACAGTCTTGCCTGCGGGCATGGACGTTGTTCTGGCCCTTTAGGTACGATATAATCAGCGACGTGCTTAGATTGTAATGAAACATTGAGCACGGACAGCCGAAGTACGAAGTGGGCAGGGTGACATAATAGAGATTGAGAGATTGAGGGATTTAGAGATTGAGAGTGGGTAAGCGCTAAGTATGTAAATTAACTGGATCTGGTGTTAGGAGCTTCAGTAATCTAGTGAGAACGAGGGTATGACACTGCCTAGATGGGAGTCCAAGATAACCCATCACTATATCATCTACCCTATAGAAAAGCCTTGGTATATATGTGTAAGGTAAGTATGAAATCAACCTTTGGATTTACACTTTGCAACTTTTTTTAGTTCGATCCTAGCATACTTGATAATAACATAGCTGGGATAAAGTCTAGTAAAAGCTTAGATTACGTTTTTGAAGAGCTTAGATCAACTTTGTAAAAGGCTTAGATGGTTTTGATAAAGAGCTTAGATCATCTATTGAAGAAGCTTGGATTTAAGTCATCTTATTTAACTGGATCCCAGTTACAAACTTCAATCCTATCTTAACACCTCGCCATTTTGCCATTTCCGGAACTTGATGTAATGATACAGCTTCTGGCTTCCCCGAGGACATTTCAAGCCCAGTTCTCTTGCCTTTCTGATAATCCAGCCGGTGATATAGTCTATCTCGGTATGCCGGTCACCCTCTATATCCTGCAGCATTGAGCTGCGGTTCTCTGCTGTGGCATCAGCCAGGCGGAGGACGTCTCTGAGCAAAGCCTCGTCTGACCAGGCTTTGTCAAGCTTGGGGTCTCCCGAGGGCAGGTTGAGAGCGGCGCGGACGACGGGACCGATTTCTGCCACCATATATGATGGCCTGAATTCAGCGGCGAGGGCGGTGACAGGCTCGCCTGGTAGAGCTCTGCGGCTTTCCAGATGGCGGAGAGCACCATTGGGGCACTTGTGCACGACTGTAAGGGGGTTTATCACGGCATTCATGGCCAGTTTGCGTATTTGGGCGAGCTTGATCCGTCGATGGTCGAGCACCTTGGTCTGGAGGGTGGGAGAGGATTCGACAAGGCTTTGACAAAGAAGATGGGACTGGTCTATCTCCTCGTTCTCACTGAGGGGTCCGATCTTGAGTGAACCCTCCCCAGCCATTTGGAAGGTGAAGGGACAAAAGGGGTTGTTAGTGCCGCCGCGGCCGGATATGCCGGCGCTGCAGATGCCAGCCCAGTATGATGGGCGGTTTGCTGGGGATCTGAAGGCAACTATCTGGGAGTTGAGTTCTTCGTGTACTCCGAGGCCGTTTTGCAGCAACAAGACGGTCGAGTTGCGACCGAGGCGAGGCGCAAGGATGCCGACAGGATCTAATGTTTGCTGGCCTTTTGTTGCGACAATCAAATTGCTGATGGGCATTGCTCGATTTAGCTTGTAGGACTGTCCGATATACTCAGCACCAAACCCAGATTTGGAATCCTGTGTTTTGTCATCGATCCATCTTGTGAGTTTCCTGCCGCTGTCGATAAACTTTTTGAAAGAGTCTCTTTTGCGGAAAATCAGCGTGACAGGCACCGATGGGACGTGTGTTGCCAGTGCATGCGCAACATATTTGCCGATGTTTCCTGCCCCGAGAATGTATATGGTGGGATTCGTCATCTTGGTGGTGTTTGGTTTTGTTGTTTTGTAGGTGTCTGGAGCATGGCACTCAATTTTTCGTTGTTGGTGGCTGCTGGTGCACTAACATTGGTAGCAGGTGGCATCACCCAGATAAGATAGTGCAGTTCGGTCAGGGTGCAGGATCTCCCGCACTCCAGCAAACTACGGTGGGTGTCAATCTTCAAGTCTTCCGTAGTATAGTGGTCAGTATGTGAGCTTGTCAACCATCAACAACAACGCTCGAGACCCGGGTTCAATTCCCGGCGGGAGAGTATGCCACGTCTTTTTGTCCACCTTTTTTTATTTCTTCTATAAAGAAAATTGACTTCTTGCAGGGATCGGGGCATGTCCTGGCACTGGCACACAGCTGGCACATCAATCACGTGACCCACAACACACACAAGAGCTAGCTAGCTGAACAGATTCTTACACAATACATCATTCATCACACAAACGCTTGCAGTGGTACCATTCGTGATCCATCACTTGTCAAAACAAGGTTGACTTCCAAGTCGCTGACTCTTTTTGTTTTTTTTTAAAGAGGGCTCGGGGCAAAAGCTCGGCCAAAGCTCATATTGTACAAGAAGCCTGATAAAGGCGGGATAATAGAGGACTGGGTTGTTGTCACCAACCCACTAAGACGTAGCTCTAAGGGGGACAAGGGTGGAATTGAATGCTGCGGGGTAGCAGTTATAGTACCCACGTGACCTGGCGACCTGACATGGCGTCTTGAAGTCCCGTCTTGAAGTGGGGTAGAGTTCCCTTCGCGTCTCTCAGTCTACGTCATGCATCTACGGTCAAATGACCAGCCATTGCACAATTGACCTACCTACCGACATTTGCGACTTGTGCTTGACAGATACAGCTAAATCTAGCCTTCAAAATGTGCGGCAGATATGCCATGGCCCTGGTAAGCAGTCTCTTACCCCACCTCACACCAGTGGGCTTTCCTCACTAACAAATTCCCACAGCGGCCCTCCCAAGTCCGCCAAATCCTCCAAAACGACTACGACCTCCAAGTCGACGACGCCCCCGCCGACGAAGGCGACGGCGCCCCCCGCCAATCCTACAACTTCGCCCCAGGCTACAACGGTGTAGTCTACCGCGCAGACGTCGGCGAGCGCGGCGCCGGTCCCGCTCACCCCTTCTCTCAGAATGAACCCCAAGAAGAATCCTCCACGTCATCTCCACCACCACCACCACCACCACCACCACAACAACAACAACAACAAGAGGCCCCATCATCAACCCCCTACAAACTCCAATCAATGAAATGGGGCCTCATCCCCTTCTGGACTAAATCCTCCCCTTCCTACCCCTCCACCCTCAAAACAATCAACTGCCGCGACGACTCCCTCGCCCAGCCCGGCGGCATGTGGGCAAGCATGAAGTCCAAAAAGCGCTGCCTCGTCACCGCCCAAGGCTTCTACGAATGGCTCCAAAAAGGCAAAGAGAAAATCCCTCACTACATCAAGCGAAAGGACGGCAAGCTGATGCTCCTGGCCGGATTATGGGACTGCGCTACTCTCCCCTCTCCCCACCACCCTGACCAACAAGAAGGCGAAGAAGCCCACAAGGTCTGGAGCTACACCATCATCACCACCTCCAGCAACCCCCAGCTGAAATTCCTCCACGACCGCATGCCCGTCATCCTCGACCCGGGGTCACCCGAGATGAAAACTTGGTTGGACCCAAAGAGGTGCGAATGGAGCCAAGATCTTCAGAGGGTGTTGAAGCCATATTCCGGAGTGCTGGAAGTCTACCCCGTCAGCAAGGAAGTAGGCAAAGTAGGGAACAACGACCCCGTCTTCATCGTGCCGGTGGCGAGCAAGGAGAACAAGGGCAACATTGCCAACTTCTTCTTCGCCAATGCCGCCGCCAAAAACAAGAAACAGCCGCCTCCACTGAAAGGGGAGGAAGAGGGGGAGGCCGAGGTTGAGAAACCTTCAGGTGAAAAAGAAATAAAGAGTATGGAGGCAGTGAAAAAGGAAGGTGACCAGGGAGGAGTGGAATTTGAACCGCCGCTGACAACACCGCAGAAGAGGGGGATCAAAAGGGAGGCGTATACCACAGAAACAATAACAGACGAGGAGCCACCAAGGAAGAAATTACAAGAGGACACAACAACAGGGAAGAAGTGGGAGTCACCTGTCAAGCCGACGTCAAGGCCAAAGATCAGTGCCACGAGTAATCACACATCCGGCAGGAGTCCAGCGAAGAAAAAAGGCAAAGTTGCTCCGGCGGGGGCAGGGACTCAGAAGATCACAAAGTTTTTTGGGAATAGTGCATAGAACTTTTGTCATGGTTTCAGAGGAACGGACGGGGGATAGATTGATGATGTTCGGCACGTGACCAAGCCTATACCTAATTACAAGATAATTGTGTTTCCAAGATACCTACCTACCTATCTAAGTGGATTGTAGTACATTCTCCATCCCAGCTCCCAGCTTTTGAAACCTTCCATCCCCGCACCCAACCTCTCTGTCAGCGGCAGTAAAAGCTCCACCACCTAGGTACGTTACTCGTCTTCCCCCAGCTCTTCCCCCACCCAGCCTAGGGCCCATTACCTCCCCAACCCCTCATCAACAACCACAATCTAAAAAAACCCAGGCCTGTCACACACAACCCTGTTTTTCAATTTGAGCTCATGTACAATTTTTTCCTTGGGTACTTCCCCAACTACCTAACACCATGTTATTTATACATTCAACCGCAACCCCCGATGATACGGTACTCAAGCCTTCCTAGCCAAGATCCTCTCAGCAGCCCTCTCCGCCGCAATCACAATCATGCCCGACGGGTTGCCAGTCGACATGCCAGGGAAGATGGATGCGTCCACCACAAACAGGTTGTCAGTACCGTAGACCTTGGTGTCCAAATCGACAACAGCGGTGCCGCCCGCCTCGCGACCGTCGTCGGTGCCAAGCTTGGCGGTGCCCATCCAGTGGTTGGAGCGGCGGGCAGAGGGGGAGACGGGGAGCTATATATACACATCCGTTAGTTTGCTGTCTAATAGGAGGCAAAATCAGGGAAAACATACGCCATTGACATAGTCCTCAACGGTTCCAGTGGGAGGCGGCAAGACCCAGGTGATGTTGGGAATCACGTTGAGGGCAGCCTGGAGCTTCTTGATGCCGGCAATGACGGCCTCCTTGTCGCCGGCGTTGTGGAGGTAGGGATGCTCAGAAACAGCGGTCGCGAGACCGGGGGTGATGGTCATGCGGCCTCTGGAGACGACACCTCTTCCGAGGTACTGGCTGAGAGTCATGGCGTCTGGGAGGGGAGTGTTAGCTTTCCGAAGATTAATCAAGAAAAAAGAAAAAGGCAGACACATACGTGGGGAAGTGGTGATGCGAGTGTCACCCTCGACACGAGCAGTCCACTGGAACTGACGGGGGATGCCATCAGAGGGAGTAACTTCTTCCCAGACCTGGCCCTCAAACATTAGTCCGCTATCCTGTTTGACGTCAAAGCTGCGTCGAATCTTTTCACTCACCATGGGTCCGATGTTGGGAGCGGCCTGGGTCAGGATGCCAGTGCGGTTGTTGAGATAGCGCTCCTTGTCACCATCGTTGGGGGTAGTCCAGGCCTCGTAAAAGTCATAGAAGACGACGTCGGGGTGGGTGAGGATGAGATCGGTGTTGAGATGGTCGATGAGGTTGGAACCGACAGGGAGGTCGATCCACTGGTCCCTGGAGATGAAGGTCTCGCCGTCCTTGGAACCGGCAACGATCTCGAGCTGGTCACGGGGGCCGATACCGCCTTTGTACGCTTCATTAGCACCTTTGATGGCCACAAGAGCCCTCGGAAAAAAGGATGAAATACTCACTGCGCATGAGAAGCTTGGCAGAGCCAAAGGTACCAGCAGAGAAGATAACACCACCCTTGGCGCTGATCTTAACCTCACCGCTGTAGCCACCGTCCCTCAAGCATTCCAGCTCGACGCCGGTAACCTTACCACCTGTCCTGATAGCCCTGCGCACAGCACTGCCAGTCCACAGGTCAAAATTATCACGGTTGTTGGCCGAAACAAGGTATGTGGCGAGCGGGCCGTCTCTTTCGCCATACCGGAACATGAAGTGAGTATGGGCGAAGGCGCCGTTCTTCTCGTTGGGTGACTCGTTGGCGACAACCTCCTTGTAGCCAGACTTGGCAAGACCGCTGGAGAGAACATCGAAGCCTTCACGGCGATAGAGGACACCATCAGCAGATGGCTTAAATGTTCCGGGAATACGGTCAAAGACACGCTTGGCGGCAGCCTCGACATCCTTGGACTTCCAGCCCGCTGGGAAGTTGTAGTCCCAGTCAGACGCGGGCGGCTACATTCTTGTCAGCACGAGCTCCCCAAGGGCAGGTTTTGGCTCGACACATACCTTCCACCAAAGACCAGCGTTGACAGCAGTACCACCACCCAGAACACAGCCAGCCATTTGATCAGTGTCGGTGCAAGCAATTCCGGCACTGTCCACCCATATTTGGTTGCAGAGGCCGGGAACGTCAAAGCGAGTGAGGTTGGTTCCCTCGAGCCACTTGGGCTTCATGGTACCGCCCCAACGGCCAGAGGAAGGAGGCCCCTTTTCGATGAGCAAAACGCTGTGACCAGCCGCACTGAGCTTGTCGGCAACGGGGATGCCACCGGCACCACCGCCAACAACAATGTAGTCGTACACCTTCTCCGGAGCAGGAGTGCACTCGGCATCACCACCGCCAATACTAAAGAAAAGGAGCATCAGCATCACATGTTTTCCACAAACTTGCAGTTACAAACCAACTTACCCCTCGCAGTCAATCTCAGGAGTAGTGGTGGCCAACTCGGCCCACTCAGCATACGACTCAGAGGTGGCACCCTCCAAAGGAGCTCCCCACTGACCAAAGCCGGCATCGTGGAAACCAAAGGTGGCGCGGTCAGGGCAGGCGGGGTTCTCCAGGCCAGAGCTGCCAGCGGCATGGCCCAAAACGAGGAATCCTTGGGTGGTCTCAACGCTCCCAGTGGTGCCGTCCTGGTTCCACGAGAAGCAGTTCTGGCAGCGGTAGATCAGCTCGAAGTGGGTGTCGGTGACGTTCGACGATACTTGGGTGAGCTTGGCGTCACCAGTATAGACGTCGGGGAGGGTGTAGCCCGTAGCGTAGCGGAAGGAAGTGTGGACTGTTCCCTCGGATGCCCAGGCGACCAAGAGCAACGCTTGGGTCATTTGACCGGCCTGGCCGTGGGAGAGGCCGCACCAACCGGGGGCGGCGGCGTCCTCGATTTTGCAGCGCTAATTTTCCATCA